CTTTTCCGCGGGTGCGGAAGGCAGAAGGGAGGAGCTGGGAGGTGGGGAGGGGGGGCGTGAGGAGGGTACCGTGAAGCGGGAAGATGCGGCGCCGGGGGGCGCGGTGCCCGCAGGGGTCGCGGAGCCGGGCGTGCCGGGCAGCGCCGGTGGCCGCAGCCGCGGGAGCCGCCCTGCGCCGGGCGGGCGGCACCTGCCGGGACCACCCGGAGTTACGGGGCAGGCGGTGATGAGTCAATATCTGCACAGAAATGCAGAACAGACCTGCGGGCGCGCAGCGGTGGCGGCGCGGGGCAGCAGGTCGTGCCGCAGGCGACGGTGCGGGGTTAGGGACCGGCGGGCGACCGGAGGAGGCAAACACCGGTGTCCCTCTCTCTCCCCTCCGCCCATCCCGCTACGTCCTGAAACAGTGTGTGCTTCTAACTGTCCATGCAGAGTGAGAGTGATCTGATACTTACGGTTAGGCAAAAGGAATCAGGAGCACTACGACGTCAGACATGAATCGGGACCCTTCTCGATGTAAAGTGTCTTTACTCTTTCTTTTTACAAGCTTTTTTTTTTGAATAGGAAAAAGCCTCAGTCTTTTATTTCAAGAAACATGTTTGAAATGCGTTTTGCTGTAGAGCAGGTAATGCTGACAATAGTGAGCTTCCTATGTCACTGTTAGAATTTATGGCTAAAGTGGGTACTTCAGCACAACAGCAAACCTTCATAACACGTTGCATTCACAGGTAAAGTTCTACCCTGTTTTAAAAGTAAAGTGAATTTTTGATGTTTAAGTCAGGGCTGAGGATCATCATCATCATCATCTGAGTTGCCGTTTTTTCCTCAAGATCTTAAAACATTCTACAGTGACAGGTATGGTTATATATTTTACTGTCCAGATTGGAGAAATCAAATCGAAGAGATGAAGTGTCAGGTGACTTGCTCAAGGTAATGCAGCAAAACTGTGAACATAGATAATTCCCACACAGCCTGTTAAAAGTACATTACCAGCAATTCTGACATTCTTTTGCTAACCCCATGCTTTGCTGAATGTTTATGTGTGAGCACTAGTGAACTTCCTGGGAACAGATTTGCTTAGTACAATGGGCAAGGTACAAGCGCTTAGAGGTTTTTAAGCAACTGCAGCTGAAACCTTTTCGGAACTGGAGGGCTCGAGGAAAGATTAGCTATCTGCAGGCGCTACTAGTGAGTGCTCACAGCTATTAAATAATATTCTACAAAAAGTAATTCGTTGCAGTTGAGTCAAATACAGTAAATATATGCAATTGCAACTGAAAGAGAAAGAAAGAATAAGGAGCCTTGTAAGGCAGGCACTCTGCCTTGTTGAGAACCTTTTGCAATATTACAGTGCCAGCATGAAGCAAACAGCAGTAGCCAGAAAGCTGAAGGTAGGTTTTGCACAAACAGTGCCAAATATGTCAGTGGTGTTACTGCAATGTTTAAAGCAGGAACGGAGCATCGATTATCGTGACTATTTAAAAAAAGCAAAAAGGGAAGGGGGCGGGGGAAAGGGAGAGCCTGGCTCCTTGCAGTTCCATCCTTGTGGTATTCTTCCCCAGGCTCTGCATTGACGTCACAATGACACAGTGAAGCCAAACACAGGAGCTGGGAACAGTTCTTCTGCTTCACTTTTGATAATTGAGTGAGTTTGCCACCACACCATTCCTTCCAGCATGGCTAAGAGTGCAGAAGTGAAGCTGGCGATCTTTGGTCGGGCTGGTGTGGGCAAGTCAGGTATGTTTGTCCTCTGCTTTTTTCTTCTGCTTGTCAACAGGCAACTTTTCCTCTCTCTGTGCAGGCAAACTCTTTGTACAAAAGGATATCTGTGACCTTATTCTTGTTAGGGCAGTCAGGATGAGGCCAGGAATTCTCTCTTCCTTGGCTTTTTATACTATTTTCTCCAGGTTCTCCAGAATAAAAATACTTTTATCACTTTTTAAGAAAAAGCCCAACAAAAAACAAACTTCCCAACCCAAATCAAACCCAGTTCTCATGAAGTGGCAACATTCCTCTTTTCCAGTGGAACAGAATTAGTAATATTCAGTTTGTCTCTTCATCATGCTAGATGAAAGCATTTATATTATGGTCCCTCTCCCCTAAGATCAGATCCTTTTTTAAATATCACATTACTTCTGTAATAGTTGTAATTCTGGTTGATTTCCACAGGAATTTTAGACTCAACAACTCAAAGAATTTTTGTTCTCAGTGCTCACCTGGTTTTCCATATTTACCAGGAAGCCAAGAAAATACGATGTGTAAAGTTTGGATTTATAGAGATCTTTTGAGAAATAAACATAGTCTGGTGAGTTCATATGGTAGAAACACAAGGGGGAGGCATAAATGTTAAAAATCCATTTCTACAGACAGCCTTTCCTTCGATGAGATAAGGAGTGTAATATGAGAGTTGCAAGCTCCCTCAGGTATTTCAGTGGTGTTGCATTAACTTGACAGCTCCATGACCACTCTAACATGTCCTTACCCCACAGGGATGAGGAAATAAGGAGACTTAGTCTAATAATGCTCCTGTGCCAGTTTGGGAACTGTAAGATACTGTTTATTCTAGAAAAAATCTGCACAAGAGAAGCCAGGAGATAATGATGTACTGGTAAGAGCATTAGGCTAGACTCAGCTGCTATCAACTAGCTCCAGTTCCCCAAAGTGACTTTATATTAGACATGCCAAGGTTCTGTCCCATAAATGTATTATTGTTTCACTAACTTCAGAATGGGTTGTTTATAAAAGCACGTTTACCCAGAAGGTATTTTACCAGAACACTGTCAGTGAAGTAGCTCTGTCAGCCCTCATGAAAAAAGGCGTATGTGAGGCAGAACTTCTTGGAGACTATATTGCTTATTCAAAGACAATGCAGATTAAATTCTACCTTTTTGAATAGAATACCTGAGGGAATTCTGATAATATACTGGGATAAATTTAAACTGTTCCTTCTTCCCTGCTACGCTCACCCCACCCCTCTTTTGTATTCGCATGTCACTGTCATGTCTAAGTTTTGTAAATGACTTCAGTGGTTCTCCTTTTGGTTTATCTTACATTTAGTTGATGGGTTTTGTGGTTGTCCAGTCTTTTGACTGGATTGAAAATAATGCAAAAGAATGTTGAAGTATTTGCAGGAAACTTGAAACACTAAAAAAGAGTCCCCTCACCCTGTTATTCCTGATAGTTTGAGAGCTTTAATCTTTAAAAATTACAAAACTACCTGTTAAGCACTCAGTTAAAGTGCTACACCAGCCTAGGATCAACAAGAGCCTTTTTTTACCTGTTGCATGCTTTTTGTAGATTTCAATATACTAGGATTTTGTGGCAAAAATGTTTTCCTGTGCTCCTGGAAACTGGTGGGAAATAAAAGAAGTGAAAAGCCAATAAAAACATCCTAGTCCTTCAGAATCCTCCTCCTCTTTCCTTTTTCTTCCACTTGACATGCAAGGAAATATTTACATAAAATATGACTAAGGTCCCCTCTTTTGACTGTGACCACGAATGTGAATCTGTGTGGAAATGAAGGCGCAAATAAGTGGCAAGAACAACAAGGTGAATTTAAGGGGGTGGAGCACTATCAGCTACCTCGACAGAGCGCCAGCTGTGCCTCCCAGATTCTCCAGCTTGCTTATGAAAACCCCTCTTGTACATTCCCATAAAAGGATCCAGTTTCAACAGCTCAGGCAACTCCAGAGAAATAAGTGTGTCTGTGTATCTGTGTGTGTGTGTGTGAGGGGGGTGGTGTCTGAAAATACCTATTTGCCTGTAGCCAACAGTAACAATAGTGGGAGCTATGAAAGTGCTAAAAGCAGAACTGGATGCAAAGTAATCTCCAGATAGCTGGGTCTGATTGATAATACCCTGCTAGATTAGTGTTGATACTGTCTTTTTTTTTTTTTTAGTGTAACTGTGTAGTTCCCTATCCCTGTGACCAGTTTGTAATGCATTGTTGAGGCAGGATCCTGTGACCATAGCTTACTGGAATAGACTTGGCCAGACAGCTGAAAGATAAGCCAGACTCTGGAAGCAAGAACGTGAGGCAGAATACTGGAGCACACCAGATATGTGCAATGAAAAGGAGATGTTGGGTGATAAATAAGGCCACTATAATTGCCAGAAAATCATGCCAAAATATGGTCACTGGCTTGCTTTCTTGGCTTATCTTCGTTTGCTGAGGAAGAGCCAGGAATTAGGTCCTTAATCTGTAAGTGGCTTCACCACCTTACAGCATCTGTGGAGTTACAGACACAGCTCTTCTTCCACTTCCTGACTGAGACTTTGGATGAGCGAGTCAAAGCATCTGTGAAGAAAGGAGTGTTGTGCTTCAGGACATGTGGAGAATTAAAGCTGTCCCCGGTACACTATGAAAGTCATTAGACCTGTTACCATTACTGAGAGCTGAGGAACATCCTAATCTCATCACTGCTAGACATCTGTTTAAAGGGGTGCAAGATTCCTTGTTCTACAAAGTAGTCCCTTCCAAGACTCTTTCAAACACGAGGTGAGAAACCAGAACACCGTTCACAAATCTGAGTAGTAATAGTAGGATCTCAAAAGAGTTAAAGCCAGGGAAGATAAAACTTTTCTTCACTTTCTTGCTGCTTATAAGTTTCCATGGTTCAAAGGTTTAAAAAACAAACAGGAGGCAATGGCAAGTGTGAGTGTCAGCTTTTCACTGTTCTCCTTCCTTGCCTTGTCTCCTCCTGCCTGCTGGGGAAGGCCAGCAGAATGACTAATCGATTACCTGTCCTGTTTTGGTTTTTTTACTTAATGTAGACCTAAACCTTTCAAATAGAAAAAGAGGAGCAAACCAGCTCAGAAAGGGGCACACAAGAGTGCCCCTAGCTAGTTACACTGAGTAATGGGCAAACTCATCAGGTACCAGCATCCCAACCTGTGGACTAGATGCTCTTCCATTCACCCAGTTCTTAATGCATTAAAGTTGCATAAACATTGCTTTAAAGTAGCTGAAAAAAAGCAGATGAGGAGCTCTGCCTGAGCCAAGGAGGATTTTGCAGCTGCTTTGCTTGGGAAGAGGAGGAAATGCTCTGTGGGTGGGAAGGTAGATTGCTAAGCCCTGCTATTGATAACAGGGCTGTACCTCCTAATTTGGTCTAGAGTCAAGTGGCACTGAGGAGGAGAGAGCTTTTAAAGTCTTTTCCTTTATGCCCAAGAGGAGCTTGGATGGAGCGGAGAATTAAAGTTGAAGTTAATTACTTAAACATTGCTGTTTAAATTGTTCTTCTGCTGGATCCTACAGCTTCATTCCTATGGTAACAAAAATTAGAATTTCCTAAATAGCTCCTTGTAAAATTACAGTAGTAGCAATTAATAAAGACTCGAAGCCCTTGTTCTTCCATGTTATTACACGGTACAGTATGTGCCCAGAAAGCTAAAGAGGAGTGAAAATGTATGAACCAGGAGCAGAAAAATAGGGCATATAGTGGATAACACTGCATGGATGATGCTTTTCCACCTCATAACTCAGTTGACTATGAATGCTCAAAATACATCTGCTTAAGAGCCTTTATATTTTGGCCAAAAAAGAGACAACGTCCAGCTGCAGCATGAGCTAACCAACTTGCCTTTTGGCTGTGTGTGTGCCAGGCTGACTACTCCAGGTTTCTGCATTAGCATGTATGATTTGCCCAGTCATAGGCAAACACAGTTCTCATGTGCTGGATGGGCCGTGCAGCTACACACATGATGTGGGACATGGAAGTTTGTGTGGGTTCTACTGGTGTTAAAGCAACAGGGAAGATACTAAAGACCCCACAGGCTTCCCCCAGTAAAGTGTCAGGTTCTAGGCAGCTATGCAAATCATTTGCTTGTGCAATCAGATACCTGAGGCACAGGGCTGTTGTCACCTTTCTGTCCTGCAATAGCTCAGATGCTTGCATTTGGGCAAAAGGGTGACCAGTAAAGGGGCTTTAGTAAGTATGATATGGCAAAGAGCCTGTCCCATCACAGAAATTAGGATCTCACCAACTCCAGTCATTTTAGTGTCACAGTTGGGAAAGTTGTGAGCAAACATATATTTGTATCTGTTGGCTTATGCTGTTTTCCCTAACCCAGGATGAAAGTTTTGCAAGTTCCTACAGAACAAATTCAAGCAGGAGCTAAGCCAGAGAGGCCTTCAACAAATCTGTGGGGTTTTTTTGTTACTTGGTGATATGTTTGAGACATGCTGTCAGGGATCACTTCCTAATTGCAAGGTCTGGGCATGTGGGGAGTAGAACTGAATTCAGTGTCACCCCACCCCCATTCAAAAAATCGTGTGGGTTACTGGGAAAGAAGCCCAAAGTGATTTTTCTACTTCACAAAATCCCTGCTCATATATTTTCCCCAACTAATTTCATTTCAGGGACTTTTGGGGAGGAAACATGAGTTATTAAGGAGTGATTAGTTATCAAACTCACAGCTCTGCTAGTAAGGCAAGGAAAGCTACCACATGAGCTTCAAAGTCCGTGCTGTACCAGTTGATGTATCAAGGGAGGATTACTGTAATAAGGTGCCTCTGAAATCCAGAAATGTGGTTGGAAAGAGACTCTGGATTTTGTGTTGTGGGTTTTGGCTTTTTCCTTGTGCTAGTGGAATAGATCAGTAGCCTTTTTTTCCTTTGTTCTTAAGAATGGCAGTGACAACGAGATGCTTAAGTGATTATTCAGTGATCAGGTTTAACACCCACTATATTAATTGTCCTGTATTATTTTGTTAGTAAAGTACTCATTAAACACTCC